GAGGTTTAGCTGATATTATGGTTGACAAAATTAAAACGCTTGTAAGGAATTGTAGTTAAGAAGGTAACGTGAGGTTTAGCTGATATTATGGTTGACAAAATTAAAACGCTTGTAAGGAATTGTAGTTAAGAAGGTAACGTGAGGTTTAGCTGATATTATGGTTGACAAAATTAAGACTCTTGTAAGGAATTGTAGTTAAGAAGGTAATGTGAGGTTTAGCTGATATTATGGTTGATAAAATTAAGACTTGTAAGGAATTGTAGTTTGTTGTTGATAAGGTAAGATGGGAATTTTGCTGATATTCCGGTTGATACTGTAGATAAACTTGTAAGTATTCTGGTTGATAAAGTTTATTAACATTTTGAGGCATTAGTAAAGTCTTATATGTGTTATTCGTTGGTTTTGACGATCTATCATAATATCATTGTCAACATGTACAACTGTTAAAATGTAGTGATCAAGTTTTATACAAGTTACTAAAAGATTATTTGCAAACAGTTACTTGGCAGTGGAAGTATGCTGTAGTAATTGTGAAATTGATATAGAAAGTGTTCTGAGAAAGTAGTTACTAGAAATGTAACTCATAAAACTACAAATTCACATCAGGTGTCTTTAATTTTGTCAGTTGGTCAAGAAAATATACTCTTGTTTGTTGATAAAACATTATGATTTTACTTTGTTGTAGAATGTGACAGGTAATGGATCACAAAAGAATGTTACAGTGACTAACATGACAACTGGGAAGAAAAAGTCATGATTTGGCCTGTGGATTAGGTTACAGAGCATGAAAATATGATCTTCTGACTAATAAGAGGGGAAAAGTCTGATTTGACTCAATAGTGAAAATTGGTTGTAGGAGATAATGTGGACAATATTGGGACTGTTCTACAGTTATTAACATGATCATTGGGAAGAGAAACACTGATTACAAGTTGGAAATATGCTTTCATTATTAATCTGTTTATTTGGAAGAGGAAAAGAAAACATGATTTGATTTAGGAGTAAAGCTCTTTGTTAGGGGTGATATGGTTAATTAGTTGAGGGGTTGTAGAGAATAAGTGGTCATTTTCTTTTGAAATAGTGATATAAGGCTACTGACTAAGTTACTAAATATCATATTTGTTTTATTAGATGATTAGTTGAATGTGGAATGATTACTTATGAAATAGAAAAATGCTGACTGAAAAAAGTACTGAAGTGGTCATTAATGGGTAGAAAATAAATGACCTGATCAGTAAAAAGTATCAGCATATAAAGTTATGGCAAGTACTGACCAAATTTATATTAGTGATTTGACTTGTATAACTATAATGAAAATGTGTTTATTGACTCTTATCCCACTCTTGATAATCATCTTCATTTAAAGAAAAAATAAAAAGCCTTACCTAGTGCATAGCACTTTGTTATCAGTGCATATTTTCTCATTAACATTATGCTGTTCATGTTCACACAAAAAAGTGGCATTGCCTTCAAATATTTCATAACTAAATACAACATGATATTTATGTTAAGAGAAAAAAAAACAGTAGGTGGTTCCGACATGTAGTTTTTATGAAATGAAAATAACTTTTTTAATGTTTTACCATTTATTGTTGAATGTTGTGGGCATTTAGTCTCCTTTGTATGTGTTTTCACTGTTTCAGTACACCTTGTAATATTAAGACTTCTCAGAGGAATTCAGATGCTTCATGATTACTGTTAGAACAAGTACAGGTTTTCAATCAAAACAATTTAGGAGTGATTGTGTTATGTTTTTTATCAAACCTATAGTCACATTTGCCTCAAAGAATAAAAATTTTCACTGGTTAAACTTTTAAGCTGCAAAAAATGGTATTATTTAATGTTTGTCTTGGATGGCTGATCCCAATATTGACAGTAATATATAGTATTATTATAACCCAAAATGAACATTAGTTATTAGAAAATGCCAAAACGGACTTCTTTTTACCAAATTTAAACTTGTATATGTCAGATTTCGTTATGTAGTTACAGTTTGTCACATCAGAATTAAATGTGTACAGACACAATATTTGATGTTTTCAATTGTAAATTAGTATAGTTTCACAGGTCTGTTTATAACAGGAGTATCAGGGATTACATGACCCTAGTTTGGTTAGGATATAACATTATACCATCTCTAAATTTTGTATTTTCTTAAACATACCATTTTGTGTATGAAAAAGATTTAGTTATTAATCTATGTAACCTGTTTGATATTTATGCACAAGGTATTATCTGTATAAAAAGTAAAAGCTATTATAATACTCTTGTAAAAATTCCATTTTCATCTGCAGAAGTATCATACTTGGCCCAAATATGTGTACCTTGTGTTTCGTGATGGAAAACTAAAACTGTGACCCAGTAGTGTCATACTATTTAAATATTTTGAGAACATTTGTTAAATATACACAATTTTAACAAACTTGGATTCCTTTTAAGATGTTATTAGATTAAACTTGTGTTTGGAAGCAGATAATAAGATTTAACTTAAGATTGGTATTCTTAGTGCCATTCTTAGTCAAACTGCTATTTGTGTTGCTCTTTTAATCTAGGCAGAATTAATGATCTAATTTGGTATTTCTTGACATCAACATAGTTTTTGAAATATAAATGTCAGTATAGCTTCTGTCTTTAATACTAGATATTATAGAATGGGTTAAGATGGTTAGAATATCAAAGAGGGAAATATGTGAAGGATTCATGTGGCCAAGAACACAGTATTTGTAGCCTTTGATAGCCTAACAAGATAGTTTAGAAAGGTAATTTGTTTTTCAATGATTGGTACATTATAATATATGTATATCTGAATTCAAAGTAATAACATTTGGCATACAGCAGACACGTGCTAGAACACTAATTAGCATTTTAAAATTAAATTAGTTTTCTAGCAAGGTCACAAAGAGCAAGCAGGGAATAGGATAGTGCCGTATACCTCAGTCTTTTATATCTGTATTATTTTATCAGAAGGAAAAACAATTACAGAATTTGTAGATGTTTTTACATAAAAGTTACAATTCAGATTGTCTATATACAGCTCAGATCATTATGATGTTGGATAATTCTGTTAAGGAACCATGAAAAAGATGCATGTATATTTAAGAAAGTCTAAAAAGTATACAAGAATCAAAACTAAAGTATGATCTGATAAGTCAAGTTGATAGATGTACATCTATGTTGTAACCAAATTATTGTTTGATTTTAGAAGCAAACTGTTCTGTTTGCTCTTGTTGGTACTATCTGAACTGTAATCTACTTTCAGCAAGATGATTTTAACTTTGTGTGTGTGATAGCCTATAAAGATTATTGTAGTTTGTGGTTTAAACATTTCAACAGAAAACTTGTTATTGTAGCCCAAAAAAAATTTACTAAAATGTACCTGGAAATATAAACTAACTATTTGTATTCTCTTACAAAACAAAATGCACATATGATAGAAATTGTAGAAAAATGAATGTGTTCATTATCTAAAGGTGTCATTTTACTGACACATTTGATCAAATTTCAAATATTACATGTATTTGGACTTAGTGTTTATACCAATATGGATTAAGTATTTACATTCATTGTATTTTTATTGGTGATGGTGGTATAAGTATGTCGAATTTGTTAGTTAAATTACGTCCAAAGTTAAGTACTTTACATGGAAATAAAAACTTGTAACTCTCATTAATACCCCTTTGATTTTATTAAGTATTGTTCTTTGTTAACATGTGGTTTATGATGTGTCCTGATTTATTATGATTGAAGTCAGTGTTTGATGGTAGTATTTACACCTGAGAATGTACTTGTTCACATGAGTTAAAGAACAGTAAAAACACACTGACAAAAAAAAATGTTCTTGAAAATATAGTAGAAATGTATGTTTGTGTTTTTAGTAAAAAGAATATTTAGATTTTGGGTACCGTATTTTTTTTTCCAAGTCACTTCACACATTCTTTTTTTGGTTACTGTTATATGACTGTTTTGAAAAAAAAAAGATTAATTGATTTTATGTTTTTGCTTACTGGTACTTCTGATTTGGTGCATATATATTCAGTGTTTTTGGTCTGACTTCTGAAAGTTTAGGCTTTTTTGGAAAATGCATACATTTTAAAATTAATGCTAATTTCATGTCAATTATATGATTTGTGAGCCATTTAGAAAGTCAGGATTAAAAATCAGCTCCTCGGCTGATAACAATGGAGATTATCTTTAGACACCTTGTTTGAAAAAATACTCCTATTTATTATACAGAAATTTCACCGTAACTACTGAGGAGTCTTTATAAAAGGGTTAATTTTGTAAACTTCTTGCCAGTTATATCAATGAAAAATTTAAAATTATTCCTCAAGAATTATAATTACTTCTTTTAAAAAGTTGAATAAGTTGTTAAAAGAAATTAGAAAATTATGTAACAAATATTGTTTTGATGGTAAAAAGAAATCCATTTGTTCGTTAAAAGCTATCAAAACTAGAATGACATTAGACAAATAAGGCTTCAAACGAATAGTATAACAAAAAAATTGCATCAAGCGAGTTTGGGCCTTTGTCAAATTTACACTAAATTTTATCATGTCTTTGTCACATGGAAATAACAATTTCACATTTACATTATTAGGAAGGTGTATACAGATAGTGTTTTTAAATTTTTCATGTGTGTGTTCTGCATGTAGTGAATGACATCTTTTTTAATCATGTCTTGGAAGGTAATATTGTACTACTAATAATAATGTTTAATTAAATGTTATATACGACTGTGTCTATTTCAAAGAAGCTTGTACCAGTTTGTCACTGTATGTGTCCACTCCCTAGGGCAAAGGAAGCTCATTGCATTGAGTGAAACAGATTCTTGTAGAAGTTGGTATGAGTTTAAGATTTTTTGCTCTGCATATGTTACTTGGAATAGTCACAAGTTGTCTGTGGATTATGGGATGTCATTCAAAGACCCCTTTGACTTGAAGGTGTGGTTGAATTAATATTAATTTCCAATCAAAGCAAGCTACCTGTTTAGACCAAAATTAAAAATCAAACTACCAAAGATTACATATAATTAAGTATGCTATTATTTCTTATAAAATTATTCTCCCAGTTCTTGTCCTGTATTGTTGTAATGTTTTTCTTTCGTTTATGAGATCTTTTAAATTATTTGGTGAGAATGATTCAAAGTCCAGTCCACGTAAACGATAAATTAACTTATTTCTTCCTTAAAATTTTTACAAACTGCCTTCACTATACACAGTTATAGGGCATGTTTACAAATTATGCTAACTGTGCTACATTAATATAAAGAATAAACTTGCTTGTACCACAGACGAAACAAACAAAACAGTTATCCACTCCACTGGCTATAAACAACTCACTATCTTAATAAACTTTTTAACTATCTATCAGTTATCTTCTGGAAGTAGTCTCGACAGGGACTCCGGGCTTCTTAGCATCTTAAGGTTCTACTGACAAATTCTTTGGAGCTACAAAGATGGCTGTCTCTCACTAACATACTTTCACAAATGATCACAGTGGATAACCTTTGGTTTGAATTGCCTTTCCTTCTAAGTTTTGTGGTCTACATCATTGATTCCTCTCATTACGATGTATGACTCTTCTAAACACCTATTTTGGAGTTTGTCCTCTCTCTTGCAATTGAGAACTGTCCAGCCATACCATGTTATCTCGATAAAATCCAGTTTTATCAGCATTTAGATTATAACTACATTTTGTTTTATTACAAGCTGATTTAAGTCTTGCATTGATAAAGTCATGCGCTACATCTTTATTCGTCCAACCACCAATTCCTCTGGATGTGCTGAAGTAGTTGGTTTCACTACATTACAGTCATGAAATGAAAGATTATTGCCAATATTTTCTGTTATGAGTATTTCAATTCTTGGTGCAACGACCACTGTCCTTGTTTCCACTGGAAATTCAACTTCTAGTTTCTTAATTGCCATTTAGTGCATAGTGATTTCGTGGCCATATACTCTGAATCTCGTTTAACCTCACATCCATGTCTCTACTTATATCAAGTCCCAAAATGCACCTCTCAACTACCCACACATCATGAGGTACAAAGAAGCTTCCTACAGTAAGGGTAACTCCTAATTTCCATTTTGCTGGAATTTTACAATCTCCCGCTATTCACATCAATCTATTTTCTTCTTTCTTTTTGTAGACAATTTCTTATATTTCAGTGAAAAATTAAAATGAACAATTGTAGCTAAAGAAATAATGTCAATCAGCATACTGCAAGATTTTCCATCAGTAAGTCCATGGACTCGTGGATGATTTTCCTCAAATAATGAATAATGAACTTCTTTTCTCATTTGGATAGATGGAGTACTTCTAGCTAAACTTCGCTTCATAAATCCAACTGATACCCGTTTTTTATGTTGTTCCTTTGTTCGTGTTGGGCTCTCTCTCTTAATAATAGCTGTTGATTTCTTACAGTCGCGGTTTTAATAACTAGGTTCCCCAGATCTATAATAATTATATCTTTCTGGTGTCCTCTGAGAGGAACTCTTATTCCTTACAGGCTTTTGCTTGCAGCGCCTGGCAATATGTCACTTCAAGTTACACTTGAAACATCTATTGTTCTGTGGTTTATTTTTTTTGTTCTGATTAACTAGTCTAATTAATACTTTCATTTCTTTTACACTATCAATAGATAGAATTGATGTTTTTCAAGTACTACAGATCTAATATTTCCGTAACTTCTGGCTGCTACTATTAGTAGTTTATCTGCAGTTTTGGTGGATTTTAGTCCTATTACCATTGGCAAAGCTTTCTTTAAGGACGCACATCTACTTTGTCTCAGTCTGATACACGTATCCTGGTCTGCTATGGCACTTATAAATTAACGACGTGCCAATAAATCCATCATTGGGTAAGCCTTTTCAAATTTTTTTGCAAGTTTGTCTAAGGTTTCTTCCTTCCTCCATAACCTGTTTGCTTTGGATATTTCTTTTGGTTGCGATACTCTCAATCTGTTGGATATGGCAGTTTCCAATGCTTTGAGGTGCAAACATACTTAATGTAGTCAAAGCTGGTCCTTTTAAGTGGTTAGCAAGATGGATGGCTTTTTGTTTTCTGTTCCACCCTCTCACTCCCATGCGACATTCTCATTATACTTCATTTGTTTCAGTATTGGTTATATTTAACTGAAACTGGATTTGGTAGTGTTATGGCTGAAGTACTTCAAGAGAATCCTTCAGTAGTAGACGGCACAGCAGTAGTGGTAATATATGTAGACCAGATAAGTTCTCCTATTTCATATTATATAGTAGATGGTGGTTTAGATTGGAATTTTGAACCAATGCAAAAGAGGTGTGGTTGATTTAATCTTTACATTAATAACTCGTTTTCAAGATACTTTATTTTCTCACTGATGCTCTTTTCTACCTCATTGATGTCATTCTTTTTCCCCATTTTTCCCTTCACTTTTGAATTTATCAATCACCTTCAGTACTTCTTCAATCCTGTTACTACAATCTTTGATCTTACTGTTATAATCTCTCTGTAAGTCTCCAAGTTTCAACGATATTGTCTTTAATCAAATTCGTTTTGATTGTAATTCTTCCTTAAATGGTAATTTAAAAAATTTCCATATCTTTCTTTTAATTGCTTTGTTCCAATCCTTCTGGTCGTCTTTTTTAATGGTTTTATCATCTCAGGTAATGCTTCCTTCTCAATCCTTGACCTCGTGGTTGCCATCTTCACAATTTATGTTCAACTTCAAATATATCTCTTTCTTCTAATTGCTTTGTTCCAATCCTTCTGGTCGTCTTTTTTAATGGTTTTATCATCTCAGGTAACGCTTCCTTCTCAATCCTTGACCTCGTGGTTGCCATCTTCACAATTTATGTTCAACTTCAAATATATTTTTAAAGTTATATTTTATTTTCATTAAAATAATTCCACATCTAATTTCAGCGATGTAACATTGGTTTTCGTTGGCAGGCTATTTTAAATTATCTGATGAAAATAATTGGAAGTACATTCCACGTAAACGATAACTTAATTTGTCTTCTTCACTGTTTTTACAAACTGTCTTCACTGTATACAGTTGTAAGCCACGTTTACAAAAATGATGCTATTTGCCACACACTAAAGTAACTATTAGACTTACTTGTACAACTACAAGGCTAAAACAAACCAACAAAAGTACTGATCTAGTCCACTGACTTGCTATTTTCTTAACTATCTCTCAACTGTTTTCTCGATGCTTCTTTGACCCTGTATTTATGATCTACCTTCGAACATACAAGAAAAATTGATTTCAAATAATATACAGTATAAATAAATAGTTGTGTATTCGAACAGTTTCATACAAATGGGCAAAATTCGTCTCACTCCAGGCGTAGGAAATTTAACACTTGTTTTTTCTAGATGGTGGCTGTTAGCTATCCCAAATCACTGCACCACTCTGTTTACTGACAGTAATTTGAAATTGTTAATTACGAAAGAAGGTACTTGCCCTTCAAATCTCTGATTGTTTTGCCTTATCTTATAAATGGAACTAAGTTAATAGGTAACGCTGACCATTCGCCCCTGAACCTGTGTAGTTAATATTTTATGCTTACCTAACTAAATCTCCATTCTATTTATTGTCTTTTTTATGCAGCTAGAAAAAGAAGAGATCACAAGTGCAACATTTAAAAATCTCATTTTATTAGTCATTCAAAATCCAGGCAGTAATACCTTACTCTTAAACACATCGCATTAGATTCGGTAAACTGGAAATTGTAATTATCATATAATATTTATAAACCAATGATATGGAAATGCAGTGTTTGTGTTTTTAAAATGTAATTCAATAAACATGAGATCATATAGCAAATGGTAAAAAACGTGTTATTGTAATTTAAACTGTTACAGTGTCACTCCGATGGGGAAAAAATACATTAGTTTTCCACAATG